TTTTTTTTTTTTTTTTTTAGGAGTGTTAACATCCACTAGTATGTGTGGCACGGATACAATAAAAGACTGTTTTGCAAACCAGTTTTTCTTGGCGATTTTACTACTTCAGATACTCTGTATACAGGAATATTTTTAATAATATTTTGGGAGTCTTGCATTTAGCTTAAAGGCCTTATTTGTGGCCTTTTACTGGTAACTCATAAAAAAAGAATTGCCAAGCGGTATCTGTTTCAATGAGCATAAATAACACCAATTAGTTAAGGCTTTAGGGTATACTCATGGCTATACTAGTATTTGACCTCTTTCTGGCGGTCCTGTTTACTCCTTTTACAGTGTGAACACTAATGATAATATAGACAGATACATATAATGTTTCTTAATTTTTTTTGTCATTCCAAAACCTTTTTTGTTCTTGAGTCTGGGGAAGGTCAGGAGACACAGTGACTGCTGACTGCAGAAACTGGAAGAATAGCAGATGAGTTGCAGAGCCAAGCTGCAATACAGCTCTCTCAGAAAGTAATGTTTATTCTGATTTGCTTACAAATCAGACCTGCCTTTCTTGGGAGGAATGTCGTGCTTGAGTGCCTGGAAAGGATGGTGCCTTTCCATGAGCACCCATTTCTGTTTCTTCCCTGCAAGATGCAGTTCAGATTATCTTTTGAAAAGCCTGCTAGAACTGTGCTTTCCTGGAGTGACAGTCTTGTGCAGGTGACAGGCGGCTCCATCCTGGCCTCACCCTTCACTCACTCCTTGCTTTACGTTTTATCACCCAACTGAAAACTTGAGTAAAAAGGGTTCACTTGCGTGAAGGTATGGGAGGTGGGAAGATTTGACAATGGGAAGAGTTCACAGTGAAAATATAATATAGACCTGTAATACTCTTAAGAGTATGTTTAAATTATTGGTAAAACCATTTATTTGCTGCATTTATTTGATTTGTTTTGGATTCTGTTCTGATTTATATTTTATACTTACATTAAATTCATTATTTTCTAAAAAGTTAGAAGAACCATAGCAGGTATATATTAGTGTATTTCTCAGGCTGCATCCTCATTCAGCTCAAAAGTAGGAAAGTTGAAGAGATTATAGCTATAAACAGCTATGATGGTGAGGTAATTTTCACCTCCTAACTTCACATTACCAACATGTTGCTTTGCTCACTGGCAGACAGTAAATATAATTACTGTTTGAATAAAATTTAATTCGAATAGCAAGCCTGAATCGTATGAATGTTGTTGTACTATCTTTACAGGTAACAGGCAAGGCAAATTAGATGGAATTTAACTAGTACAAAAATAAGCTTAATTTTCCTTCTTGTGCAATTTTGATCTCCTCTAAAACTTTCTTAGAAGAAAATTTCTCTGGTGTGCTCTATTTCTGAGCAAAGGAACCCCACACCATCTATACTTTGAGGATTTCTTGACAAACTTGCAAACCCTTAAAGTACCATTAATGATGGTCAGTGAAGAGTTTTTCTGGTTGGAACTGTGGGATTTGTTTTGTTCGTTGTGTCTCTTAAAATAGGATGCTGTACAAGCAGCTGGAATTCAACAGCAGTCACCCTGGACAAAATAGTACATTCTGTAGTATTGCAGAAGAGAATGTATTTTGGTGTGTTTTTATGTTTGTTTTTAAAGGCTGGAGCACTGAGCCACCTACTCTGTTCTCAAGTAACTCCACACTTAAGACTTTCTACAGAAGGAAATACTTGTCACATTGCAGAGAGGGTGAGATGAACAGCTGTCGTCGTGAATAATTTCCTGCAGGGAATTAAATATTTGTGTTTTATTTTAAAACTACATGACTTTTCTTCCACAATCTCTTTTAAGCCTCCGAAGTGAGATCACGCACTTATGTCCGAGTTAAATCTTCCAGTTGTTTTTTGTTTTGATTCACTGCATGACTTCGGCAAGATACTGAACCTTTCTCTTGGTTCCCTTCTGTGTGTAGTATTCATGTTCTTTCCACCACTTCCATGTTTGTGAAGTATTTGATCTTATTTATAAAAGTGTTACATGATTATGCACCAAAGAAATGTGCTTAAGCACTCTTTTGCTATTATCTGTGTTATCTGGCTCCCCTATATACAATGAATTAAATTCTGTCAAGAAAATAATGATACATACTAAATTAATCATGTATTAAAGGTAATTCAGGTGAGGGGAAGGAGTTCACGTACAAACAACCTACCTTCAGCCTGATTTCCTAAAACTAAAACTGTTACCTGCATTAAACCTTTACTTAAAGCAACCCCCTTAACCCTCTGACAGGTGATTGCCGAGGGCAGCGCTGCAACCCGAACTGACAAGAGAGCACAGGCAGGAGCCCCAAACTGATCTGTGGTACTGACTCCTTGCCTGCTTTGGAGTAAGGGCTAGGTAAATCGCATTAATAATACCCAGGTGATGAAAACAGGAGCAGATGTGCAAAGAAGTGGATGCATAAAGACAGCCCCAGACCAGTTGCTGGATAAACGCACTGCGCTGCTCTCACTCACCGGCTGCTGCGGCCCAGAAGCGCCTCGGTCCCGAGCAGACGCCGGAGGCCGCGCGGGGGGAAGGCGTCGCTCTGCGGGAGCCCGGCAGGAGCTGCCGCAAGCCAAGACGGGCGCTCGGCGGCACGCGCAGCCACGACGACCAGGACGAATCGGGACGTTCTCCCCTGCAGCCCGCGACCCGCCCCGCCTCGCTGCTGAGGACGTCGTTAGGGGTTGAGCGCAGCCCTTCCACGCCCCGTCCTTCACGCCGAGGCAGCTCCACACGCCCCAGGGGATGAAAGGGCATCTTGGACGCGGGGGCCGCTTGCGGCAGGCTGAGAGTCTCGGGAAGCGCCACTCGCTTTTCTGGAAGAAATGCGAGTTTGATGCGCGCCTCCTTTTTCCCGCGTTCTTCGGCAGTGGCTGTTTGGGTACTCGGTGAAGGGAGGTCGCTGGGAGCCACAGCTCGCTCCCCGCTCCACTCCTGCCGCCGCCCGGGCTGCAGCCGCTGCGAGCGGAGCAGGCGTATCCGTGCGGGCGGGTCGAGAACGCAGTGCGCATGTGCGGGACGCGTCCAGCCGGGCGCGGGGCTCGTGGCGGGAAGCAACCGGGCCACGGCCACGGGGCCTCAGGAACGGTGCTTCGGACACCGCGGTCTCCGCCCCGCCCCTCAGCGCCGCGCGCCTCCCTCAGCGCCGCCCCGCCCCTCAGCACCGCCTCCCGCCCGCCTCCTTAGCGGAAGGGCGGCGGCAGCGGCTCCCAGCTGTCGTGGCCGAGCGGGCCACCGCCTCCGTGGCTGCCAGCTTGTTGCGCCATCGGGGGGCGATAACTGCGGGGCGTCGCAGGAAGGGGGCGGCCGATAGCGCCTGGAATTGCTGTGTCTTGTCCGTGAAGAGCTGCCTGCGGGTCAGGAGAGAGCAGCAGTTGCGGGAGGAGGTAATGCTGGAGTACTGAGCACCTGGCAGGCGCGCCAGGCCCCTGCGCTTGATGCCGGAATCTGCTGCTGCCCTGCTGCAGGGCGCCCGGGCTGCTCCCTCTACCTGCTCCAGGTCTGCTGGTGTCAAGGTGAATACACCGCTCTCTGGCCTCGCCTTTCCAGACACTGGGCTTTGTCCTGCCTGTCGGGCTCTCATAGTTGGAAGAAGAATGTTGTTTTTCTTCCCACAGATGAGATGTGGAAATGCATCGGATTAACCCTGTGTATCAGGGAAGGTAGAGACACAAGCTGCAGAATGGGACTGTGGCCTTGGGGTTATGACACTATATTGCCTTAATTCTCCAGCAGAAAGACAGCTTTTAGTTACTAGTATAACCCATTTGTTAACAGCTAGTTGATAGCTCCTGACCTTGTTTGTGAGACAAGGTATTCCTGACCTCTGCCAGCCCCTTCTCATCAGCATGAGTGTGTCAATTTTGTGTTAATTCTGTATCTTCACTGTATACGGCAGTCTGGCACAGGAGCACTCCGGACTTTTTGCTGTTGCTGCTGTGGAAGTATGAGAGGGATCAGAAGGTGGATTTTGAATAACATGGCCAGGCATAGCATGGAAAATTTGGCCCAGAAATGTTATTGAGCACATGTGTTGTATTGCAGAAATTTCAAGTTGAAATGAGTAAATGTTTAGATATGTCATAAAGCACTCATCTCACCGCATGGACGTTTAAGTTGCATGTAAAACAACACGTAGGTGAAAAATCTCTCCAGATTTTTTTTTTTTTTTTCTTCCAGAGAACATATCTTGTTGAGGTAGTATGTATCATTTATGGAATAGAAGGTAGATAGGTATAAATGTTGTAACTCTTTCTTTCCAGGTATTTTTTTCAAAACTGATACAATGGCGACATTAATTCGCACTTTAGCTGATCATAGCGATGATATCAACTACTGCGCCTTTTCTTCCTCATGCCTGGCTACGTGTTCCTTGGACAAAACGGTGCGCCTTTATTCTCTGAGTGACTTCTCGGAGCTCCCCTACTCGCCTTTAAGAGGCCACGCGTACGCTGTGCACTGCTGCTGCTTCTCACCCTCCGGACACACGCTGGCCTCGTGCTCCACAGACGGCAGCACCATGGTCTGGGACACGCGCGACGGGCGGAGGCTGGCAGTGCTCCCGCAGCCCAGCAGCAGCCCTGTCCGGGTCTGCCGCTTTTCCCCGGAGTCCACGTATCTCGTGTCGGGAGCAGCCGATGGGAGTGTGGTCCTGTGGAATATGCAGTCACTGAAATTGTACAGGTGAGAGACGGGTGCTTTTGGCAATCTTGTTGTCAAATACACAATTTATTATAAGTACTGGTCATTTGGTTGGTTGTACTGTGAACAGGACTCACATGCTTATGCCGCTAATTTAGGTCATTTTTTCTTTTTGTTTTTTAAGCCTAATAATGCCACTCAAGAAGCTTTCATTTTTATGCAAGAATATTTGAAGTCCAGAAGTTTGACAATTCTTCTAAATCTTTATAATCAAGCAATCCAAAAAGTTTGGAAAGCAATAGCACAAGCCATATTGTTTCAGGATAAGTTTTAAATGCTAATGGGAAGAATGGAGTATTGGAGATAAATTGGTTAGCATGATAAGTAGCATTTCATCTGGGTTTCCAGGACATAGAATCTGTTTGAAATAAAACAGATCATTTTTAGTGATATTATGCAGGAAAAGGTATGAACCTTGGAGAGATTCTCAAAATCCTTTCCTGTGTCTCAAAATATAAGTAAGGCCTTCAGGCTGGATACTGTAATTTGTGCTTAGGCAAGCTATTATTAAAATTTTGTACCAGCAATTACACAGTATCTCTCTAAAATCAGGAAATGAGAAATTTAGAAAAGGTGAGAAAATTTATGAAATATTCCATTCTTCCTCAGGATGCTGAATGAGCAACCATTTTTTTAAGCCAAGCTTACTTGTTTTCTTTTAATCCCCCATCAAGCATATTAACTGCTTTTATGGCCTCTCTACTTCTGTCTTCCACGGCAGCAGATGAGATAGGAACTCATTTTCCCCACCCGCCTCCAAGTGTTTAATTATCTGAAGTCTTTAATCTGGAATCTTGTCCATAAACAGACTTCTAATGGATTTTTGACACTTCTCTACTGTAATGCATAAAGAGACATGAAAGGATTCTTTTGTTTGAAGGGAATAGTAAATGGCTGATTACTTTCTGTTTCTTAGTTTTATCTTTTAGAAAAATCAGAAGTGTGTTTCCTCTCATTCATGAGTTCTAAAGCCCAGGAGTTTATCTGTTTGAGGTATTACAATTGAGGTGATTACAATTTATATTCAGCATACCAGTGACTGGAGGAGGTAAAACAGTAATGCTAAAAAGTAATTTCCTTATAAATATTTGCTTTTAATATATGCAATGAGGCCTGTGACTTAGCTGATTAATACATATAAGGAATGTATAGAAAATATATATATGTATTTTTTTAAGATAAATTCGCTCCATTTTGGTGTTTATGAAACAATAAGCATTTTAAGGCTTCTTGCCATTAATTACACTAATTAAAATTGCAATCAGCAGAAGAGAATTTTACAGAATACAACAAAGAAGGAAACGTATTTTTCTTTCTCTCTGGAAATGAAGTTTATTGCTGTAGATATGGTGTTTATATCTATGATTTCTTTCCCCCCACCACAGCCTCTACTTGAATATTCAGCCATGCCCGATGGGCCTTGTGTTAGGAGTGGGATACTTGCAAATTACATCACGTTGCATTCCAGATGCTAGCAGGATTCTGGACTGACTCCAAGACATGTGTATCTGCTAGGATTTTTCTTGTTAAATGTTGCTAATAGCTAAAACTTAAGAACTAAAATCTGAGATCAGTTTATGAAGTCTCTTCTGGAGTATTTAAAAACAGAAGATTTTTCACAGATTCACAGAATTCACAGAATATTTAAGGTTGGAAGGGACCTCTACAGATCATCTAGTCCAACCTTCCTGCTCAAGCAGGCACACCTACAGCATGTGGCACAGGGCGGCATCCAGGCGGGTTTTGAAGACCTCCAGAGAAGGAGACTCCACAACCTCCCTGGGCAGCCTGTTCCACTGCTCTGTCACCCTAACAGTAAAGAAGTTGCTCCTCACCTGCAGACAGAACTTCCTGTGCTCCAGCTTATGGCCATTACCCCTCGTCCTATCGCTGGCCACCAGTGAGAACAGCTTGTCCCCTTCCTCCCTGCATTCTCCCTTCCTGAAATTATACATATTAATCATATCCCCTCTGAGCCGTCTCTTCTCCAGAGAAAACAGGCCCAGCTCACTCAGCCTCTCTTCATACGAGAGATGTTCCATTCCCTTAATCATCCTGGTTGCCCTTCTCTGGACCCTCTCCAGAAGCTCCACGTCCCTCCTATACTGGGGAGCCCAGAACTGAACACAGTACTCCAGGTGCGGCCTCACCAGAGCTGAGTAGAGGGGCAGAATCACCTCCCTTGACCTGCTGGCAACACTCCTCCTGATGCAGGCCAGGATCCCATTGGCCTTCTTGGCCACGAGGGCACACTGCTCACTCMTGGTTAACTTAGTGTCAACCAGGACTCCCAGGTCCCTCTCCGTGGAGCTGCTTTCCAGCAGGTCGAGCCCTAATCTGTACTGATGCCTGGGGTTATTCCTCCCGAGGTGCAGGACCCTGCCCTTGTCCTTATTGAACCTCATGAGGTTCCTGGCAGCACAGCCCTCCGGAGTGTCGGCCACTCCACCCAGCTTGGTGTCATCYGCAAACTTGCYCRGGGTGCRYTCCGTGCCCTCGTCCAGGTCATTGATAAACAAGTTGAACAGCACTGGGCCCAGCACTGACCCCTGGGAGACACCACTGGCCACAGGCCTCCAACTGGACTCGACAGGCCTCCAACTGGACTCGAATTTTTTGTTTGTTAGTTTGTTTTTCAAATTACTTTTTCTTTGCTAGCAGTCTAAAATTAACTCTGCATTATGAACCACAGAATATTATTCTAGTCAGCTGCAGCTGAGTGGTGCCTTGTTCTGGCTTGAACAGAATACAGTGAAATTGTGGGAGATACTTTTTTCACTCTTTGCACATGTATGTTTATCACAGAATCTTAAAGGTTGGAA